GTAAATCGAAACTGCCAAGCAGTGGAGCCAAACGCCGCTTTGATGAAGCAAGCGCCAGTGCCGACATCTCCAGTGATGATGAGACGGCGCCACCTCAGCCCAGCGCCAGGAAGGTTAGCCAGGTCCTGGAGCTGTCTCTCAACTACTGAGACAGAGATATACAGCATTTCTCTTATAAAGTTCCACTATATACAGTCATTTCTCTTATAAAGTTCCACTATATACAGTCAGTTCTCTTATAAAGTTCCACTATATACAGTCAGTTCTCTTATAAAGTTCCACTATACAGTCAGTTCTCTTATAAAGTTCCACTATACAGTCAGTTCTCTTATAAAGTTCCACTATACAGTCAGTTCTCTTATAAAGTTCCACTATACAGTCAGTTCTCTTATAAAGTTCCACTATACAGTCAGTTCTCTTATAAAGTTCCACTATATACAGTCAGTTCTCTTATAAAGTTCCACTATATACAGCCAGTCCTCTTATAAAGTTCCACTATATACAGTCAGTTCTCTTATAAAGTTCCGCTATATACAGTCAGTTCTCTTATAAAGTTCCACTATATACAGTCAGTTCTCTTATAAAGTTCCACTATATACAGCCAGTCCTCTTATAAAGTTCCACTATATACAGTCAGTTCTCTTATAAAGTTCCACTATATACAGTCAGTTCTCTTATAAAGTTCCACTATATACGGCCGGTTCTCGTATAAAGTTCCACTATATACAGTCAATTCTCGTATAAAGTTCCACTATATGCAGTCAATTCTCTTATAAAGTTCCACTATATACAGTCAGAAGAGGAAATGTGTTATCAGTTAATAATAATAATACTTGTATTACTACAGTGGACCCCGGGTTTTCGTGTTTAATCCGTTCCAGAGCCATCAGCCAAAACCGAAACCATTTCCCCATAAGAAATAATGTAAATGGAATTAATTCGTTCCAGACACCCAGAAGTATCAACAAAAAAATTTTTTTTTACCTTAACCCCTTGACTGTTGCAACCCCCAAATCCTGAGGTGTTTCCTGGTGTCGAAAAATTTTTGAAAAAAAAAAAAAAATCTTATGAAATGATAGAGAATCTTTTCCCAGTGGTAATAAAACCAAAAGAACGAAATTTGATGGAAAACTGACGGAATTATGCTCTCGCAAAGTTAGCGACCTCCATGATATTTACGAATCAATGATTTTGCCCACTTTGAGCCCTATTTTCGGCTAATTCCATTTCTCCAGTCGACCAAACTCATAGCTATTTCTTTAGAACTCTATTTGTTCTGTCGATTGAGTACAAGAAACCACCCATTTACTGATTTCAACTACCCAATAATGTGGTCAGAAATTTGCAATTTGGCCAATTTCACGCAAATTAAAAAATATGCCAATTTCAAAATAGGGTCCAGAATGAACAACGCAGACATTCCTGGCTATAAAATAACATTTTCTTTGTTAATCGGTCATGTCTCCAGGCCTCTTTGATATTACTCTTGCTTTCTATTTTGAATTTTTATTCTAACAAATAGAAGATTTACTATTATGCAGACTACTGCAATATTGTAATAATTGTATAAATAATGTCAACCCATTCATGACTGCATATTAGAATGGCTAGTTGGACATTTATTGGACAATGACATCATTTGTTTACTTTTGAACATCGGCAAAAATCAAACATTCCCCCTACTTCGAGCTCCATTTCAAGGTTCTTTTCATAGTAAAACTAATCAAAATCACCTCTGTTTCTATAATACGTTTTCCATTCTATAAAATGAGACCAAGAAAACGAGAATACAACCATAAATACTATACGAAAATACACCTCAAAGTCAGCATTTTAATTAAAAAAATGGTTGGAGTTTTTTTTTTCTCATCATACACTGCGTACTGCAGGATTTTTTTATATGGTGCACACTGACCACACAGACCCATTCTCTCACATGTGCGCCTACCAGCTTTCTCCTGCTTGATTTGAAGCCGCTAGAATTTATGAGTATATATATGTCAAACATGACTGAAACAGTCACATGGTTAAAGTTACATTTACATGCACAAAAGAATGAACATTGAACATAACACTTACCTTTATTGAAGGCTGTTGTTGCTGGAAGGAAGACAGGGAGGAAGGGAGAGGGAAGAGAGGTTATTCTTTGGAAGGGGAATCTCCCTCCATAAGGACTGTGGGTACCAAGTCCTTATCCGGGGTCACTTCCCTCCATTGTTTTTTAATGCCACTAGGACCAGCTTGAGAGCCACTGGACCCTTGTTGCACAAAATATCTGTCCAGAGAGCTCTGTTTCTGGCATCTCTTTAAAATTTCCCTAAAATGGGACATGGCATTATCATTGTAAAAGTCGCAAGCACGGATTGCAACAGCTTTCTCAGGGTGATGTTGCTCTACAAATGAATACACTTTAGTCCACATTGCACAAATCTCCTTAATCTGTGTAGAAGGCACCTTATTCCATCTCTATTCCTTCTTCTCTGAAGCAATTTCCTCAGCTGTGGTTTGTTGCTGTTGCTGAGGAAGTTCTTGCAGCTCATCAGTGGTGAGCTCTTGATTGTGGTCCTCCGCCAACTTTTCCACATCCTGGCCACTCACATCTAACCCCATGAATTCAACAGTGCCACAGTTGATTGACAACAGATGTAGGGTCGACAGGGTCAGCCTCAAACCCTTCAAAATCCTTCTCTTGGACACAATCTGGCCACAATTTTCCCCAAGCAGAGTTCATCATCCTGGAAGTCACTCCCTGCCAAGCCTTATCTGTAAGGCCTATGCAGTGGAAGATATTGAAGTAATTCTTCCAGAACTCTCTTAGGGTCAATTCGGAGTCCGAGGTTATATCAAAACGCCTTTTAAACATTGCTTTGGTGTACAGTTTTTTGAAGTTTGCAATGACCTGCTGGTCCATGGGCCTAATGAGAGGAGTGGTGTTAGGAGGCAAGAACTTCACTGTTACAAAACTGAATTCCTTAGACAATTGGTCTTCGAAGTCTGGAGGATGAGCAAGAGCATTGTCCATTATCTGGAGGCACTGGAGTGGCAGTTTATTATCCAGGAGATATTTCTTCACGCTCGGGCCAAACACTTCATTGAACCATTCCAGGAAAATTTCCCTCATGACCCATACCTTACTGTTAGTCTTCCACATCACACATAATTTACTCTTGACAACATTGTTTTTCTTGAACACTCTGGGATTTTCAGAGTGATACACCAGTAAAGGCTTCACTTTGAAATCCCCACTAGCATTACTACACAAGAGAGTTAGCCTGTCTTTCATAGGCTTGTGTCCAGGCAGGGCCTTTTCCTCCTGCGTAATGTAGGTCGTCTTTGGCATTTGCTTCCAAATCAGGCTTGTTTCGTCACAATTGAACACTTGTTGGGCTTGGAATTTTTGAGCCTCTACATAACATTTGAATTCCCACACAAATTTTTCAGCCTCATGTTTGTCTGAACTGGCACCCCTCACTGTGCCTTACAGCACTTGTATACCACTAAGCTTCTTGAATTTTTCGAACCAGCCTTTGCTGCCCTTAAATTCACCTACATCAGCATTTGTTTCAGGCAGTTTCTTTATGAGATTGTCATGCAACTGCCTTGCAATTTCACAAATAATAGACTGCACAACACTATCTCCTACTAACTCTTTCTCTCTGATCCACACCAACAACAATTTCTCCACTTCTTCCATTGTTTGGGATCTCTGGTTATTGCATTTACCCTTTTCACAACATCAGCTTCCACGATTTCTTTTCTCTTTGCCACAATGGAGCTGATTGTTGATGGCGACTTCCTGTAAATCCTGCCGAGTTCAGCAATGTGTATGCCATCATATTTTCTTAGGATTTCTTTTTTTCAGTTCTACGGTGTTCCTCACTTTCTTTACCAAAGCACTGGCACTAGAAGCTTACTTTGGGGCCATGTTTGCTTATTTAGCAGTCACACACAATAAACAAGTGGCAAAAATAATGGATTATTACGAAATGTTTTGCTTGACCTGGCAGGATATGTTCACTCACTGAGAAACAGTGCTACACTGGCTGAGAATGCGTGTGGGAGGCAGCTTTGTCTGCGCGCTGGGCACTGGACGGGTTCCGTACGATCAACAAAAACGGAGGTAATCGACGAAAGTGGAACCAAAAAATCGACAAAAAAAAGTCGGCCAAAACTGAAATCGGCAATAACAAAGATTGACGAAAAACGAAGGGTCCACTGTACTACTATTCAATAATAAACAGAAATATCAATCTCAATCTCAAAATAATGAATCTTAACTAGTCATAAGTTGGCCTGTGATACTCCAATACTGAAACTATGTATAGTGCCAAAACAAAAGCATTCACATTGCTAAACTCACAAACTAGTATTTAGTCACTTAGCCATAATACCAACTTACCACATAATTTTGTAATATTTTAAACTTAAGATTTAATTTAAGTCTGCCCGAAATGCCTAGCCATGCTAGGTGTTCTAGTGGTACACTCTGTAATTATTATTTTACTACATGTAAACCACACAATAACCAAATTCTGTAAACTCAGCATTGTAATCCTTATAGAGAATAAACTTTGAATTTGAATTTGAATAATAATACATACATACATGTACAAGCATATATGTACACACTCCTCTGGGTTTTCTTCTTTGTGTTTTCTTACTAGTTCTTATTTCCTCTTATCTCCATGGGAAAGTGGAACAGAATTCTTCCTCAGTAAGCCTTGTGTGTTGTAAGAGGCGACTAACATGCTGGGAGCAAGGGGCTCTTCTCTGTATAAATTGCTAAATTTGAAAAGAGAAACTTTAGTTTTTCTTTTTGTGCCACCCTGCCTTGGTGGGATATAGCTGGCTTGTTGAAAGAATAATAATAATAACAATAATAATTTTTTTTTTCAACAAGCTGGCTATCTCCCACCAAGGCAGGGTGACCCAAAAAGAAAATCCCCAAAAAGGAGATACTTTCATCATCATTCAACACTTTCACCTCACTCACACATAATCACTGTTTTTGCAGAGGCACCCAGATACAACAGTTTAGAAGCATATATAACATATCCCTCCAAACTGCCAATATCCCAAACCTCTCCTTTAAAGGGCAGGCATTGTACTTCCCATTTCCAGGACTCAAGTCTGGCTATATAAAAATAACCGGTTTCCCTGAATCCCTTCACTAAATATTACCCTGCTCACACTCCAACAGCTTGTCAGGTCCCAAAAACCATTCGGCTCCTTTCACTCCTACGTAACATGCTCACGCATGCTTGCTGGAAGTCCAAGCCCCTCGCCCACAAAACCCCCTTTACCCCCTCCCTCCAACCTTTTCGAGGACGACCCGTACACCTCCTTCCTTCCCCTACAGATTTAGATACTCTCCATGTCATTCTACTTTGATCCATTCTCTCTAAATGACCAAACCACCTCAACAACCCCTCTTCTGCCCTCTGACTAATACTTTTATTAACTCCACACCTTCTCCTAATTTCCACACTCCGAATTTTCTGCATAATATTTACACCACACATTGCCCTTAGACAGGACATCTCCACTGCCTCGAACTACCTCCTCGCTGTAGTATTTACAACCCAAGCTTCACACCCATATAAGAGAGTTGGTACCACTATACTTTCATACATTCCCTTCTTTGCCTCCATAGATAACCATTTTTGTCTCCACATATACCTCAACGCACCACTCACCTTTTTTCCTTCATCAATTCTAGGGTTAACCTCATCCTTCATAAATCCATCCACTGACACGTCCAACTCCCAAGTATCTGAAAACATTTACTTCTTCCATACTCCCTCTCTCCAATGTGATATCCAATTTTTCTTTATCTAAATCATTTGATACCCTCATCACCTTACTCTTTTCTATGTTCACTTTCAACTTTCTACATTTACACACACTCCCAAACTCGTCCACTAACCTTTGCAGTTTTTCTTTAGAATCTCCCATAAGCACAGTATCATCAACAAAAAGTAACTGTGTCAACTCCCATTTTGTATTTGATTCCCCATAATTTAATCCCACCCCTCTCCCGAACACCCTAGCATTTACTTCTTTTACAACCCCATCTATAAATATATTAAACAACCATGGTGACATTACACATCACTGTGTAAGACCTACTTTTACCGGGAAGTAGTCTCCCTCTCTTCTACACACCCTAACCTGAGCCTCACTATCCTCATAAAAACTCTTAACAGCATTTAGTAACTTACCACCTATTACATATACTTGCAACATCTGCCACATTGCTCCCCTATCCACTTTATCATATGCCTTTTCTAAATCCATAAATGCAATGAAAACTTCCCTTCCTTTATCTAAATACTGTTCACATATATACTACCCACTCTAAAGCCTCCTTGCTCATCGGAAATCCTACTCTCTGTCTTACCTCTAATTCTTTCAGTAATAACCATACCATACACTTTTCCTGGTATACTCAGTAAACTTATTCCCCAATAATTTTATATTCTATATGCAAGATTACAGGTAAGTCTTGCTACTTCTACTTACACTTAGGTCACACTACACATACATGTACAAGCATATATATACACACCCCTCTGGGTTTTCTTCTATTTTCTTTCTAATTCTTGTTCTTGTTTATTTCCTCTTATCTCCATGGGGAAGTGGAACAGAATTCTTCCTCTGTAAGCCATGCGTGTCGTAAGAGGCGACTAAAATGCCGGGAGCAAGGGGCTAGTAACCCCTTCTCCTGTATATATTACTAAATTTAAAAGGAGAAACTTCAGTTTTTTCTTTTGGGCCACCCCACCTCAGTGGGATACGGCTGGTACGTTGAAAGAAAGAATTTTATATTCCCTCTTTTCCTCCCATAACTTATCCTTCAACATTATTGCTACTTCTTCTTTAGCTCTAACTCTATTTAAAACCCCCTGATCTAACCCCATTTATTTCTCCCCACTGAAACTCTCCCATTCCCTTCAGCTTTGTTTTGCTTAAAGCCAGGACATCCAGCTTCTCATTCATAACATCCACATTCATCTCTTTTTTATCATTTGCACAACATCCACACACATTCAAACATCCCACCTTGTCGGTTTTCTTCTTTTTCTTTTTAGTAGGCTATACGGGAGAAGGGGTTGATAGCCCATTGTTCCCGGCATTTTAGTTGACTTTTACAACATAATAATAATAATGATAATAATTGCAGGTTCCCGCTGGTGGTGTTAATGTCTTCGGTACTGCCGTTACATCTGCCATCCGCCGAGCACCATCATCGGATTCAGAAGCCTCGGATGGAGGGTGGTCACCGGAGCGCAGCAGTGCTGGGTCTTTGTCGTCCGCTGGCAAGTCCAAATCCCGGGCTGCGCCAGGACCGGTCGCCAAGGTGGCAGACACAGGGAAATTGTCCGGCGGAGGTGGCTTGTTTGATGACGATGATGATGAAGATGACCTGTTTGGCAGCATCGCCACAAAATCCCATGCAGGTCATGCCACGGTTGTCAGCCAAACAAACCGTAATTCAGACATGACTTCTGCCGTAACTAAATCATTCGGTAACGAATCTGGTGCTGGAACGACCAACACAGCAAAATCCGACAGACTCTTTTCTGATGATGATGACCCATTTGGGACACCAGTTTATGACAAGCATGTTGTCCCAGCACCAGCTTTACCTGCTAGCAAACTACCCAACACGACTAGTTCAACTAGTAAGACGCTAGACGAGGGAAGTTACAAGTCATCACCGATTGTCATTTCCTCTGCTCCCAAAACCACAAGCGATTCACTCTTTGGCTCCCTCAGCGATGACGACTTGTTCGCACCATCCGGCACAATCATGGCGGCTAACTCTTCGGTGTTTGCCTCAGAGCCGCCGCCTCTTCCGCCACAAGACACGACTTCCAGTAATGACAAATCTGCTCCACTGACTTTAGGTTCCACCAACGACAGATCTGCTCCACTGACCTCAGCAAAGGCACCGAAACCCCTTCCCAGTACCCTATTTGGGTCGTCCTCAGATGACGATGACCTATTTTCACCCATGTCCAAGCCAGTCCATGCAGGTCCCCGTGTAGTTCAGAAGAGCAGAGGTCAAGAAGGATTTCCACAAGCTAAAGAGGATCAAAGAACAAACCTGGAGAGCCCCTTACCCGAGGATAGGATCCCACACGGCATTAATTCCCAGAAATTAGACACAAATAGAGGAATATTGGGCACTTCCACTGAGAATTTAGGGAAATTAGACACAAATGCAGGAATATTGGGTACTTCCACTGAGAATTTAGAGAAATTGAACACAGATAGAGGAATATTGGGCTCTTCCACTGAGGATTTGTTTAATACCAGTTCCAGAACTGCAGGCGACCTCCCAGTGCCTTCAAATTCTCAAACACTGATGGAAAGGCCAGGTTTGTCAGCATCACTAGATGATGACGACATATTCTCCGGCATCTCACCACTGCCCACAGCCAGCCAGGTCATTGGCAGTGACGGACAGAGCACAAATATATTCGTCTTGGATGATGAGGATGATATATTCGCGATTGACGTACCGGGAGAACAGTCTGCTGTTTCTGCTGAATCGAATATATTCCAAACCTCAAAAATTAATATATTCCAAGATATGAAGGATGATGAGGATATATTTAAGGACACAAAGAAGGAAGGCAGTATATTTGTAGACACAAAGAAGGAAGGCAGTATATTTGAAGACACAAAGAAGGGAGGCAGTATATTTGAAGACACAAAGAAGGAAGACAGTATATTTGTAGACACAAAGAAGGAAGGCAGTATATTTGAAGACACAAAGAAGGAAGACAGTATATTTGAAGACACAAAGAAGGAAGACAGTATATTTGAAGACACAAAGAAGGAAGACAGTATATTTGAAGACACAAAGAAGGAAGACAGTATATTTGAAGACACAAAGAAGGAAGACAGTATATTTGAAGACACAAAGAAGGAAGACAGTATATTTGAAGACACAAAGAAGGAAGACAGTATATTTGAAGACACAAAGAAGGAAGACAGTATATTTGAAGACACAAAGAAGGAAGACAGTATATTTGAAGACACAAAGAAGGAAGACAGTATATATGAAGCACAAAGAAGGAAGACAGTAATAATTTGAAGACACAAAGGAAGGAAGCCAGCATTTATATTTGAAGACATACAGAAGGAAGCATATAATTTGAAGACACAAAGAAGGAAGAAAACAGTAATTTGAAGACATACAGAAGATAGGCAGTATATTTTGAAAAACACTAAGAAGAAGACAGTATATTTGAAGACATGCAGAAGGAAGAGGATATATTTCAGAACAAACAGACTCAACAGAAGGACTTAGCTCCTACAACAGACACAACAACAGATGAACCAAGGGAGACTAAAGAAACTTCCTCTGTTATAAACAGGGATGCCTCCTTCTCCACACTACCTGTTGACTCTGAGGCTTCAGTTGCTCCACCAGCCTCTGGAAAGGTTTCTCCTGTGGGAGAGAAACCAGCAAAACCAGTTACAAAACCCACAGTTCTTGATACCACTGAGGTTTCTCCTGTGGGAGAGAAACCAGCAAAACCAGCTACAAAACCCACAGTACTTGGTACCACTGAGGTTTCTCCTGTGGGAGAGAAACCAGCAAAACCAGCTACAAAACCCACAGTACTTGGTACCACTGAGGTTTCTCCTGTGGGAGAGAAACCAGCAAAACCAGCTACAAAACCCACAGTACTTGGTACCACTGAGGTTTCTCCTGTGGGAGAGAAACCAGCAAAACCAGCTACAAAACCCACAGTACTTGATACCACTGAGGTTTCTCCTGTGGGAGAGAAACCAGCAAAACCAACTACAAAACCCACAGTACTTGGTACCACTGAGGTTTCTCCTGTGGAGAGAGAAACTACACAAAACCAGCTACAAAACCCACAGTACTATGGAACACAACTGAGGTTTCTCCTGCGGGAGAGAAACCAGCAAAACCAACTACAAAACCCACAGTACTTGGTACCACTGAGGTTTCTCCTGTGGGAGAGAAACCAGCAAAACCAACTACAAAACCCACAGTACTTGGTACCACTGAGGTTTCTCCTGTGGGAGAAGAAACCTCAAAACCCAACTACAAAACCCCAGTACCAGATACCACTGAGTTTCTCCTGTGGCCAGAGAACCAGCAAAACAGGTTAAAAAAACCTTGGGCGGCGTGTCGCTCTTTGGAGGAGCGGATTTATTCACTCACCTCAACCAGAGTAAATCATTTTTGAGCACAGAGGGAGATGGTGGGGAGGGGAGCGAGGCAGAGGCCAGAGGTCGATCTGGCAGAGCAGACATCGGCAATGGCAAGAATGACAACCTGTTCAGCAGCAGTCCGCTGCCTCTTTCAACTGAGGCCAGAGGGTCTGTAAAAGTGGTTGAAGATGAGACAAATAGAGAGAGTGATGCTCGGTCATCGGCACATACAAGCACACAAGATAAAGCTGGTGGCCAACTTGGCAGAGAAATTGGGGTTTCCAGTGAACAAGGACAACAGACAAAGCCTCGGAAGAAGCCTCCCGTTGGCGGGGTGTCAATGTTCAGCAGTGGCAGTAGTGGCTTGGGGGGGGGGGGGGGTGAGCTCTTCTCTAGGGTCCAGCAGAGGAAGAGCATGCTGGCACCGGAGAGTGACAGCAGTGACAACAGTGATGGCAGCCCTCCCAAGGATGTTCCACAAGCATTGCCTACCAGGCAAATGACCGCGGCAGTGTCGTCGCACCCAAACATTGCTCCGACGAGTCCGCTGTCACCACTATCCCCAGTCTTTACCCCAGGACTGATCTACCCCAAGACTGGAGGCCGAGAAAGTGGCGTGAGCTTCGACGAGCCGGCCACAACAACCACGACACTACAGAGCTTGAATAAGGTACACCAGATAGACTGGATGGACAGGCCTCTTGAACCGCTGTCTGTAAAATGATGGCCCAAAAACCTATGACTGCCGGTCAATTTACCATCTACAGTTCAAGCCTCCTGACTTTTCTTAATTAACTTGGCAGTGTGAGTTGTACTGTTCGTACAGTCATTATACTGTTAGTACAGCATTGAACTGTTAGTACTGTCAGCTGTTTAATGTTGGAACAGGCATACTTTATGTTGGTACAGTCATTTTACTACTGTCGCAACAGTCAGTTCTCCTGTAATCCTGTTCTGTTTCTCAGTCTCTGTGGTGCAGTTGCAGGTTTCATCCAATGAAGGAATTGTCACATTCAATTACATGGAAAACCCCCTCTTTTTCATAATTAAATCATTTTCCAGAAAGTGAGACTATTTCCGAAATTGACGATTTTCGAAACCAATTTTTGCCCCAATAAGGAAATTATGTAAATACATAATCTGTTCCAGACACCCAGAATTATTAAAACAAAAATTTTTTTTACATGAAATGTAGATGTAGTACATACACAATACAATGGGACTAATGAATGAAACATTAACAGCATAAAACACTTAACTTTATCGACAATTCTTCTCTGTGTATGGAAGACTGATGAGAGAGAGAGTGGATTATTTACTGTGTTGGAAGGGGAAATCCCCTTCCATCAACACTCAGGTACCAAGTCATTTTCCTGGGGGTTACTTCTCTTCTCTGTTTCTTAATGCCACTAGGACCAGCTTGAGAGCACTGGAGTCCCTGTCTAGCGAAAAAAAGTGTCCAAGAGCTCTGTTTCTGACGTCTCTTTAAACTTCCTAAAATGGCCAAGACTATTGTCCACTGTAACAAGTTCCAACATGGCTTGCAACAACCTAGTCAGGTGATGTTTCTCCATAAAATCTTCCATCCTACCCCACATTTTCAATTTCTCTTAAATCTGAAGAAGTCAACTTCTTCCCATCTCTCTCCTCCTCTGCAGCAATATTCAAGCTGCGTGGTTGCGTTTACCAGCTGAAGCTCTTGCAGCTCCTCAGTGGTTAGCTCTTCCTTGTGTCCCTCCACCAACCTTCCACAATCCTCCCATACTCACAACCAACCCCATGGAAACTCCCCAATGCTCACAATAGAGTCCACAACTGCCATAGCTTCGTCGGGTCAGCCCCAAACCCTTCAAAATCCCTCTTGTGGACACAATCGGCCACAATTTTCTCCAAGCAAGTTTCAAATCCTGGCAGTCACTCCCTTTCAAGCCTTACCTATAAGGCAATGGAGGATACGGAATGATCTTTCCAAAACTCTCTTAGGGTTAAGTGAGTGTCTAAGGTCACATTAAAGCACCTTTGAAGCATTGTTTTGGTGTAGAGTTATTTAAAGATTGAAATAATCTGCTGGTCCATGGGCTGGAGGAGAGGAGTGGTATTAGGGGGTAAGAACTTTACTGTGATGAACCCAAACTCCTCCAGAATTAGGTCATCCAAGTTTGGAGGAAGAGCAGGTGTATTATCCATTAGCAGGAGGCACTTGAAATCCAGTTTATTTTCCAGGAGGTAATTCTTCACACTAGGGCCAAACACTTCATTGAACCACTCGACGAAAATTTCCCATTTCGTGACCCAGGCCTTATTATAAGAACTCCAAAACACACACAATTTACTCTTCATAACATTGTTTTTCTTGAACGCTCTGGGATTTTCGGAATGATACACTAGTAATGGCTTCACTTTGAAATCCCCCACTAGCATTGCTACAAAACATGAACATCAGCTTGTCTTTTAGCTTGTGTCCTGCAGTGGGCCTATACCTCCTGGATAATGTAGACCTCTTTGGCATTTTCTTCAAAAGAGGCCTGTTTCATCACAATTGAACACTTGTTGGGGTTTTAATTGTTCAGTCTGTATGTACTCCTTGAATTCATTTATAAATTTTGTAGCAACAATTTGCCCACAAAAAAAAAAAAAAAAGAAAAATAAAAAAAAAAAAACAAAAAATAAAGAAATAAAAAAGGAACTGGCAGCCCATCTCGCCATGCCTTATCACACTGTGTATGCCACTATAGTTCTTAAATCTCTCAAACCAGCCTTTGCTAGCCTAAAATTCCCAAATATCAGTACTCGTTGCAAGCAATTTCTTTACAAGATCATCATGCAACTGCCTGGCCTTTTCACAAATAAGCGACTGCATAAGACTATCTCCTGATAATTGCTTCTCGTTGATCCACACCAACAATAACTTCTCAACATCTTCGAGTACTGGCGATCTTATTTTTGTCAGCATATTTACCGGGAGCAATGGGCTAGTAACCCCTTCTCCTGTATACAATTACTAAAAAAGAGAAGAAGAAAAACTTTATAAAACTGGGTTGCTTAAATGTGCGTGGATGTAGTGTGGCGGATGACAAGAAACAGATGATTGCTGATGTTATGAATGAAAAGAAGTTGGATGTCCTGGCCCTAAGCGAAACAAAGCTGAAGGGGGTAGGAGAGTTTCAGTGGGGGGAAATAAATGGGATTAAATCGGAGTATCTCTGAAGAGAGTTCGAGCAAAGAAGGTAGCATAATTTAAATGATCAGTTAATGGGAAGGAGAAAAGAGAATATGAATGTGTAAAATTCAAGAATTATGTGGATTCAAGAAAAAGGTTGGATGCGATAAGTGGGTCATAATAAGCGAGTATGCACCTGGAGAAGAGAGGAATGCAGAGAGAGAAGAGAGATTTTGGGAGATGTTAAAGTAATGTATAGAGCCTTTGAAACCAAGTGAGAGAGTAATTGGGTAGGGGACTTGAATGCAAAAGTAAGGAGAAACTAATAGAGAGGGTGTGGTAGGTAGTTTGGGGTGCCAGGTAAAATGATAATGGGAGCCTTCTTGAATGAACATTGTAATCAGAAAGGGGGTTTAGTTCTAGGTAATACTATTATTAAAACAGAGGATAATAAGTATCACGATATGATGTCGGGCGGAAATGACAGAGTTTGTTGGAATTATGTATTGGTAGATAAAAGACTGTTGAGTAGACTTCATGATGTACATGATTATAGATGGGCCACAGATATATCAGATCACTTTCTAGTTGTAAAGCTACACTTAGAAGTAAAGGTAGATTGATACAAGGAGAATAGAAGCATCAGGGACGAGAAGGTGAAGGTTTATAAAACAAAAGAGGAGCAGATAGGGTAAGATCTAAACAGCTATTAGGAGATAGAAGGGCTAATGAAGAGCATAGGCATGGGGGCGAAGAGGTATGGGTAGGGTTTAAAAATTGTAGTGTTAAAGTGTCAGCAAAGTTAGTGGTTACAGAAAGTGGTGCAGTCGGGAAGAGGAGCGATTGGTGAAAGATGAATTTGTAAAAGAGTATAAGGGAGAAAAAAGTTAGCATATGGAATTTTTAAAGTAGAAGGTGATTCAAGGAGGGAAAGTATATGGAGAAAAAGAGAGAGATTAAGAGCGTGGTGAAGCAACATGTAAAAAGAGAGCAAATGAGAGAGTGGTGATGTAATCAACAAATTGTTGAAAATAAGAAAAGTTATGGAGTGGAGATAACAAGTTAAGAAAGCCCTAGAGAACAAATTGGATTTGTTCAGTTAAAAATAGGAGAGGAAAGTTATTAAATGGAGAGTTAGTATTGGGAAAGATGGAAGGAATATTTTGAGAATTGTTAAATGTTGATGAAGATAGGGAAGCTGTGATTGTCGGTATATCAAGGAGAATAACATCTTGTAGAGTGAGGAAGAGCCAGTTGTGAGTGTGGGGGAAGTTCCGTGAGCAGTAGTAAAATGAAAGGGGTAAGCAGCCGTGATTGAATGGATAAAGATAGAAAAGTTAAAAGCAGGTGGGATATAGTTGTTTGGAGTGTTGTGCAATTATTTAATAAATGTATGGAAGAGGGTAAGTTACCTAGGGATTGGCATAGAGCATGCATAGTTCCTAATGTATAAAGGCAAAGTGGAATAAAAGAGAGTGCAAAATCTAATGGGGATAAGTCCTGTTTTGAGTGACCTGTAAAGTGTTATGGTAGAGTTATAATTGGAAAGAATTAAGAGTAAGACGGAGAATAGATACAATGAACAAGGAGGCTTTAGGAAAGGTAGGGGGTGGTGTGGACCAGGTGTACTAACAGTGAAACATATAAGTGAACATAATTAGATAAGGCTAAAAGGTCTTTGTGGCTTTTATGGATTAGGAAAAGGCGTAATGACAGGGTGGATAGGGGGGCAATTGGCAGATTGCAAGTGTATGGTGTAGGATGTAGGTTACTGAAACAGTGAAGAGTTTTTTAAACAGAATTGTGAGGCTCAGTTAGCGAGTATGCTAGGAAAAGAAGGAATATTTTTACCCAGAAAAATAGGCCTAAGACAAGGATGTGTGATGTCACCGTGGTGTTTACTATATTAATAGATGGGGTTGTAAAGAAGTAAATGAGAGGGTTCTGGCAAGAGGCTGGGTTAAAAAAAAAGACTCACACTCAAAGTTGTAGTTGTCACAGCTGCTTCTTGCCGATGACACTGTGCTCTTTGGAGATTACTGAAGAGAAGTTGCAGAGATAGGTGGATGAATTTGAAGGGTTGCAAAAGAAGAAAATTAAAGGTGAATACAGAAAGCGTAAGGTTATAGATAACAAAACGATTAGGTGATGAAAGATTTAATATCAGAAAATGTAGGTAGGAGTAATGCGGAGTAGAACTAATCAAAATTTTGGAGAGACGTGTCAGCGATGGGTCTATGAAAGAAGAGGTGAATCATAGATTGAAGAGGAAAAAGCGTGAGTGGTGCACTTCGGAGTCTGTGGAGACAAAGAACTTTGTCCTTGAGGCAAAGAAGGGGGAATGTAAGAGAGTATAGTATTCCCAACGCACTTATATGGATGTGAGCGTGGTGATCGATGTTGCACGAGGAGAAGGCTGGAGGCATTGAGATGTCATGTCCTGAGGGCAATGTGTGGTGTGAATATAAAGCAGAGAAATCGTAGTTGGAAGTAGGAGGAGGTGCGGATTACCAAAACTGTTGTCCATAGGTCTGAGCAGGGTTGTGAGGTGGTCGGAATGTAGAGAGAATGAGCGAAACAGAATGAACTTCAAGAGTGTATCAGTCTGTAGTGGAAGGAAGGCGGGGTAGGGGTCGGCCTAGTGAAGGGATGGAGGAGGGGGTATAGGAGGTATTGTGAGCGAGGGGCTTGGACTTCCAGCAGGCATGCGTGAGCGTGTTTGATAGGAGTGAAATGGAGACAAATGGTTTTTTAATATTGACTGCAGTTGTAGTGTGAGCAAATAAACATTTAAGAAAGCTTACAGGAAACCGGCAGGCCGGACTTGAGTCCTGGAGATGGGAAGTACAGTGCCTGCACTCTGAAGGAGGGGTGTTAATGTTGCAGTTTAAAAACTGAAAGAGTATAAAGCACCCTTCTGGCAAGACAGTGATGGAGTGAATGATGGTGAAAGTTTTTCTTTTTTCGGCCCCCCTGCCTTGGTGGGAATCGGCCGGTGTGATAATAAAAAATAAAATATTTACCCCCTTTGCAACAACAGCTTCCTTGATTTCCTTTTTCTTGGCCACGATGGAAGCTATGGTTGTATGGGGTTTCTTATACATCCTGGCCAGTTCGGCCACACGTACGCCACTTTCTTATTGTTCAATGATGTTTTTCTTGAATTCAATTGTATTTCTCACTTTCTTTACCAAAGGCCTGGCACTAGGAGCTTTCTTTGGAGTCATGGTAGCTTATTTAGCAGTTGCAAGCACTAAAATGTATGGAATATTATGAAATATTTTGTATGGACAAGTGAGAGGACTGTCACTCACTGGTAAACAATGGCACACTGGCTGGGAAGGGAATGTGAGGGGGCTCATGGCCGTGAGTGCGCGTCCGGGATGGACGACTATTTGCAAGTGAAACGACGATTTGCAAGTCAATGTTTTGACAAAAAAAAAATTAGGATTTCCGAAAATTATGACTTTTGAGCCTTACGAAATACGAGGGTCCACTGTATCTAACTGGGGGGAGGGAATTTCTGGGGGTCGATGCCCCCACGGTCCAGTCCTGGACCAGGCTCTCGGACAAGCTTTATCAATTGCTTTTGTAGAATAGCTTTATACAAGCAGTTATCGACAAACCCTTCTTATGTTGCAGGCTGAAAATATTATGTCAAAAATATTGTAAATCGAAAATATCCTAAGTTGAGAATATTGTCAGTCAAATATGAATATGATAGGCTAAATAAATAAATCAATAAATAACTAGTGTCGGTGAATAAGTCAGTAAACAAATAATTACTGTAATTAATTAAATACCAGTATTGAAAAGTCAATAAATGAATACAAGTTAGGGACTTGTTGCCTTCATGCTGGATAATTATCTTAAATTTCATCTCCAAAGTTATTGTTGCAGCATCATTGTAAAGTTGAAATATTGTAAGTTGAACCATTGTAAGTTGAGGAGCACCTGCATAATGTATTGTGTTTGAGTAGAGTTTCATTGAGGGACGACCACCAGGGTAATGCATAGGTACCTTTCCAGGGACGAACCAGAGGAGTGCAGAAGCGACGCCCACCAAGCCGGGCACATCGGAGGAGCGGATTGGTCCAGAGTGACGATTTCGATGTGTTGGCGACCTCCCCGGTCAGAGATCCGGCGTCACCAGTAGTCGCGCCAGATTTCCTGCACGAACGACCACCAGAAGCAAATATCTTGAAGGGATTACCAGTCAACTCTTCAAATTCCTCAACAGAAAAGATCACTGGTGCTAATTCCATTTTTACTGATACTGATATACCAGATGCACTTAGCAATGGTACACTTGTTGAAGCCAGAAACATCGTTGCAACTACAGATAGAGTACCTCCTACCATGCAAGCAGATGTTGCAAACGACATATTTCACATCAGTTCAATTGTTGAAGCTAAAAACAGTACTTCAAACACAGAAAGAGCACCTTCTACCAAGGTCACAGATGGCAAGAACACCGTGACCTCAAAGGAGAGTGACAACAAGGATGACGATGACCTTTTTGGTCGAACCAGAGGTGCCTCAAGTGCATCCGGGAAGATTGTAAGCAAAGGCACCAGAGGTTCTCTCTTCTGGGGTGATGAGAGTGATGACGACGACCTCTTCGGTGAGGCCAGGCGCCAACCCACATCGTCCAAGGTTGCAGCAAGCCAGTCCACTGGTAAACTTGGCTCTGCTAAGCCTCCTAACAAGCCACTATCAACCCACACCTTTGATGATGACAGAGGTAAATTCCACCAGTAGGCCTATTAATATTGTTCAGTATGACCCCATACTAGACTGAATCATCATTAGGCCTATTAACCCTTAAACTGTCCAAACGTAGATCTATGTTCGCTTGTGTAGCACTCCAAATGTAGATCTACGTTTTTTACATGCTTACTTATGGAGAAAATCAAGGTCGGAGTGCTCCACGCAAAAACGTAGGTCTATGTTTGGACAGTTGAAGGGTTAATGTTGTCCAATATGACCCCATACCCCACTGAATTACCAGTAGGCTTATTACAATTGTCCAATAGAACCCAATACCCCATTGAATCACCACCAGTAAGCCTATAGGCCTACTGGTGATGATTCAAGGGGGTATGGAGCTATGAATAGGTATTAGAGCTAGGAATGGGCCTTTTCACCTCCCAGCGATTTTTTTTTTTTTTTTGTTCAACAAGTTGGCCGTCGCCCACCGAGGCAGGGTGACCCAAAAAGAAAAGAGAATCCCCAAAAACAGGTGCCCAGATACAACAGTTTAGAAGCATATATAAAGATATATAACATATCCCTCCAGCTGTATAAAGATAACCGGTTTCCTTGAATCCCTTCACTAAATATTATCCTGCTCACACTCCAACAGCTCGTCAGGTTCCAAAAACCATTCGTCTCCATTTACTCCTATCTAACACATTGACACATGCTTGCCAAAAGTCCAAGCCCCTTACCCACAAAACCTCCTTTACCCCCTCCCTCCAACCTTCTCGAGGACGACCCCTGCCCCGCCTTCCTTCCCCTACAGAGTCATACGCTCTCTTTGTCATTCTACTTTGATCCATTCTCTCTAAATGACCAAAACACCTCAACAACCCCTCTTCAGCCCTCTGACTAATACTTTTATTAACTCCACACCTCCTAATTTCCACACTCCGAATTTTCTACATAATATTTACACCACACATTGCCCTTAGACAGGACACCTCCACTGCCTCCAACTACCCCCTCGCTGCAGCATTTACAACCCAAGCTTCACATTTATATAAGAGTGTTGGTACCACCACTCTCATACATTCCCTTCTTTGCCTCCATGGATAACGTTCTTTGTCTCCATAGATACCTCAATGCACCACTCAACTTTTTTCCTTCATCAATTTTATGGTTAACCTCATCCTTCATAAATCCATCCAATAACAAATCTACTCCCAAATATCTGAAAACATTCACTTCTTTCATACTCCCTCTCTGCAATGTGATATCCAATTTTTCTTTATCTAAATCATTTGTTACCCTCTTCACCTTGCTCTTATCTATGTTCACTTTCAACTTTCTACCTTTACACACCCTCCCAAACTCGTCCACTAACCTTTGCAACTTTTGTTTAGAATCTCCCATAAGCACAGTATCATTAGTAAAAAGTAACTGTGGCAGCTCCCATTTTGTATTTGATTCCCCATAATTTAATCCCACCTCTCTCCCCAACATTTTAGCATTTCTTTTACAACCTCATCTATAAACAAAGTGGACCCTTGAATTTCATGATTAATCTGTTCCAGAGAGTCTGCTGAATGGCGAAATTCACGACTGTGAAACCATTTTTCTCATAAGAAATAATTGAAATCCAATTAATCTTTTTCACACACCCAAAAGTATTAATATTTTTTTAAGATTAAATGTAGATTTACATACAGAAAATAATGACAAATGAATATAAAGCACTAATAAAATGGATAAACAAACATTTAATGTCACACTTACCTTTACTGAAGACTCTTGTTGGTGTATGGCAGACAGGTAGGAGTGGAGAGGGAGGCGAGTTTATTATGCTTCAATATGATGTTAATATCTTTACGGCTTATTTATCTAATAATTCATTTAATATGACACAATAAACAGTATTAATAATGTAGAAACATAATATATCCTCTAGAATGAATAAAATGTGTCATAACGTATGTGAGGAGTAAGTGTTGGGGTGTTGTTGTTGGGTTTATAAGGGCCACTGAGAGAAGACTCACATAGTGGTGGTGGAGGCAGCAGCAGAAGCCACCAACACTATTCACACTGAAACAATGTATGTAATTTATAAATAAGAAATATTTACACTTACCTTGGAAGAGATGTTAGTTTAATTAGTTTGATGGAGGAGATGCTGGCAGAGGTTTAGAGTGGTGGAAGATAACAGGATGGCATATGTTCAGTGGTCCTATACCACCTCCAACAACATTGAAGAGTTACTTTTGTGTCGTTTTTCTGTGGCTTAATTGCGTAACTTACTTGCTACACTGTTAATGCTACACTTTATCGCTGGCTGGCACTATAGCCTTTATCGATACCTGCTGCTTTAGTATCGTACATACAGTGGACCCCCGCATAACGATTACCTCCAAATGTGACCAATTATGTAAGTGTATTTATGTAAGTGCGTTTGTACGTGTATGTTTGGGGGTCTGAAATGGACTAATCTACTTCACAATATTTCTTATGGGAATAAATTCGGTCAGTACTGGCACCTGAACATACTTCTGGAGTGAAAAAATATCGTTAACCGGGGGTCCACTGTATTGTAGAATCACTGAAGAAGACACATTCTCCCCTCTCTCTTCCTCCTCCGCTTTGGTGTACTTTGCTATGAGTTTTTTTTCTTGAATTCTATAGTGTTTCTTTCCTTCTTTCTTTCTTTGGGCCCATGGTGGCTTATTTAGAACTTGCAAGCACAGAAAACAATGGATTATTATGAAATATATCATATGAACCCGTGGGGTGATGGTCTCTCACTGATAAACAATGGCACACTGAGTGTGAATGGTGCGGGAGACTGGCTTTGTGTGAGCGCTGACGATGGGATGCCAGTCGAACGTGTACCAGACGCTCACTGAATCACGAGGCCAATCATGAACCACGAGGCTCTATTTTGCTGAAAAAAGTTGCCGAAAGTTGGATTTCATGAAAGTCACTGCTGCTGAAAGGTGGGGGCCCACTGTATATTACGGTGACATTACACATAAGTAAGTAAGTAAGTAAGTTTATTCAGGTATACACAAATACAGTTACATAGAATTATCATACATAGCAGCATATGTGTAGAGAACCTGGGATAACCCAAAAAAGTCAGACACAGTGACTTATTTCCATTGGGGTCCTTTTACCTTATTATTATAATATAAAGGTTATAATATTTTCTTATAATTCTACAATGAAGATAACATCTTATTATCATACTAAAAAGACTATCTACAATATGAGGGTCATTACTAGGAATAAGGTAAAATTTACAGGTATGTTAGCTAAAAAAATAGAAAATCATTCCCCTCCCTTTCTGTAGCTACATTCATCAGACACCTTTTGGCACTCTTCTTGAACTGGTTCATGCTATGACTGGCTTTGACATGTGCAGGCAGTCTGTTCCATTCCTTTATTGCTGTACAATAAAAGGTGTTTGAAGCCTGGCCACTGACTGTGGGTACTACAAAGTTGTGCTCTCTCCCCCTAGTACTATGATTGCTTTGGTTCCCAACCTTGACAAAATTGACAGCAAGATATTCTGGACACTGTTTGTGAGCAATTTTATAAACATGATTTAGCTTCAGTTGTTTTACTCTGTCTTCAACATTCAGCATATCCAACTGCTGTAATTCATCCTGGCTTACATGTTCTCTTGGTCCCAGCCCCAGGATGAATCTTACGATTTTGTTCTGGGTGATTTGCAGTCTATCTTTCAGTTTTTTTGTCAAGGCAGAGTACCATGAAGAGCAAGTGTAATCCATATGGCATTGTATAAGGGCTAGACATAGGGTCCTGCGAGCCTCAGTAGGTAGACACTGTGCGTGTCTATACAGGAACTTCAGTCTGGCATTCGCTTTCTTTACTACACTGTTCCCTATCAATTCTCCTGACATGCATGGGTCAAAGGGGATTCCCAGATATTTTACTGATGAAACCAAAGTGATGGGCTCCCCATTACACTGAACATTAAAGTTATTTACCCTTCTCAGTTTATGTTTCGTGCCAAAGAGAATGGCTTCAGTTTTCCCGAGGTGTAATGATAGTTTGTTGTCTACTAACCATTTGCTGCAGGACTCCAGTTCCAGTGTTAAAACATTAGCAATATCTTGTGGGTCTTTACCTGACACTAACAGAGCACTGTCATCTGCATACAGTAGGAGTTTGCACTTGACACTGATAGGCATGTCATTGACATAACATAAGAATAATAAGGGACCCAGAATACTACCTTGGGGAACTCCACATGTTATCGGCAGGGGTTCTGATTCAGTTTTGTTGATTTTGACTATTTGTCTCCTGTTGCTAAGGTAGGACTTAAACCAGTCTACAGAACCTATACTGATAGCTTGAAGTTTCTTACATAATATATTGTGGTTGACAGTATCGAAGGCCTTTTGCAGGTCTAAGGTTACCATACCTATGAGGTTCCCCTTTGACATTTCAGTTCTCAGGTAATCCATCAGATTAATAAGGGAGGTGTCAGTTGAGTAGGTTCTTCTAAAGCCTGATTGATAGCTATGGAGACTGTTGTTGTCATTAAGGTACTTAACTACTTGAGAGTACACCGCCCTCTCTAGAATTTTAGATATTATACTGAGTATACTAACAGGCCTATAGTTGCTTACATCAGACCTACTATTTTTCTTGAAGATAGGAGTAACTCTGGCCTCCTTGAACCCCTCCGGTACGGTATTAGTGGTGATTGATAGATTTATTATGTGAGCAATAGGGATTGACAGTTCAGAAGCACCATCTTTTAGGAACTTAGACGGGATGTTATCAGGGCCAGTGCTCTTAGTTGGGTTTAACCTGCTTAGTTCTTTTTGAATAAAGTCATGAGATACACTTACTAGTTGACAACTGTTTGGGGTTACCCCTTTATTGGTATAGTATGTTTGAAACTTATCAGAGTCTGTGTTAAAGGTATTTGATGCAGCTGGTAGTTTACTTACTAGTGTTGATGCAACAGATGTGCAGTAGGAATTAAAGCAATTTACCACCTTAGATGTTTCGTGGCATACCTCATTATCGATAGTGAGTACTATGTTAGACCT